TTTTAACAATTAGAACAACAATTAATATAGGTACATGGAATGTTCAGACAATGTAGGTGACCGGAAGGACTATTGAAATGGCTGCGGAGATACAACTTGACGGTTCTCGGAATCGGCGGAAACCATTGGACCTAAGCTGGACAGAAGAAGTTGAATTCGAGAGACATGATATTGTACTCTGGTCACGGGAAAGAAAATGCTCCACACGCCCGGGGAGTTGCTCCGATGCTGTCCACAGAAGCACGTAATACGTTTATAGGGTAGGAATCTCATGGATAAAGGATCATCAAAGCATCCTCCAAAACAGAGAAGAAAAGAAACATAGCTAATCTTATCCAATGTTATGCACCCACTAGTGATGGCAACGACACCGATGTAGATCATGACTGAGAATAAGTCAATCAATCTGTGATATAGATTGTTTTCCTACGCTCACCACTCAAACTCATGTTCCCAATATTATACTGGATTAGCTATTCTACTGAGACAACATATAACATGCTAACTCGGATTTTTACACTAGGATTGTGTGGCTGGCATCGGAAAAACAAAAAAAAGTTAGACAATAAAAGATGTAATCATTAATATTCTTAACACTTCACCCTCTATATACACACCCTTCTTATAAACCGCTTTCCTAGTAACAGCCTTGACTTCCTTTCCTTCATGTGAGCTTACTCCAACTTGTTAAACATCACAACTCATTGTTCTTTATTAGTACATTCTATAATATGGAGCCTCTGACTTCATTTCACTAACAAGACATAATATGAATTTATTCTAATTTATCATACCTCTGTCCGTTCTACTACACTATGTTAAGCAACGTTTTGCGTTCATATCCAAGTGCCTTGCTGCTCTTCTGTTTCTCTTTGTTCTTCAGAATCTTGCTCTGAGAGCACGGCTATGAAACTTCTGACGTTTGGAACAAACTTGATGTACGCTTCCCCTCAAGGTCATAGTTTACAGCAAGCGCTCTACGATTTCACTTTATAACAACTATAAACTTAATAAGTTGGAAAACATTTTGTGAACCAACAAATGTTGTAATTTATAGATCATGCCTGTAAAAACGGTGTGTACCTGCACATGCAGAAATATATTATATTATATTATTTCCGTGAGAAGCTTCAACCGATCATAGCGAAGGGCTCAGGAAAGAACCTGACCATCCTGATAGTAGATCTAAACGTCAAAGTCGGAGTGGACCACATCGAGTATGACTATGTTATGGGATATCATGAACTGGCAGCGAAAACAACATGAATGGTGGGAGATCCGCGAATTCGTGTGCACAATATTCCCACACAAAACGTATACACATATCTACATGGGTTTCATCAGATCACAACATGGGGAACCAGATAGATCATTTTTGTATCAATAAAAATTCGGAAGGCCGATGAAAAATGTGGGATCCACGAGAGGAGTTTACCTGGTTGTGGCAAAGATGAAACTGAAGCTAAAGAGGCACTAAACAACTGGACAAAGAGCATTACAAAGGTTCAATACAGCCTCCCTATGGGATACTAGCATGGTAATTGAATTCAAGTTAACTCTCAAAAACAGGTTCCAAGCCTTACAGGACCTACTGAAAGAAGAAAGTACTATGGAAGACATCTGAAAAGGGATCAAAGAAACAATAGCTCCAACGTGACAGGAAGTCGTGGACGTCAAGAAGCATTATAACTTGGAATGGATTTATTGAGACCCTGAACAAGATTCGAGAAAGGAACAACAAGAAGACAGCGATTGACAACAGTAAAAAAATCAAGTTCCAAAGACAGACTGGAAAGAGGGACACCTCATTACCTCATCAAGCGCTTCTTCGGACAGCATCGGAGCAACTCCCCGGGCGTGTGGAGCATTTTCTTTCCCGTGACCAGAGTACAATATCATGTCTCTCGAATTCAACTTCTTCTGTCCAGCTTAGGTCCAATGGTTTCCGCCGATTCCGAGAACCGTCAAGTTGTATCTCCGCAGCCATTTCAATAGTCCTTCCGGTCACCTACATTGTCTGAACATTCCATGTACCTATATTAATTGTTGTTCTAATTGTTAAAAGGGGTATCAGTTTCGTGACTTCTGAAGAATCCTGGATTTCATCATTAAGCACCATAATTCCTCCTTCAACTCAGAGGGCAGAGTTTAAATGGTTTAATTTGTTTAATATCATTGGGATTTTTTAAGTAAGGCTGTTTTCTATGGAATGTAGTTGCCGATGTAGGGCCAGTGAAATGTCACTGAGCCCTAGCAGGGTTTTCTGCAATTTCTGGAAGACTTTCCATACCGGTTATAATACCAGCACCAGTCGGGGTTATCCGTCTCTCGTAGTCTAGAGACCGATCGCTTACGTGAAATGCTTCTACGTGGGCTGTATGAGCGTTTACGGTTGTTACGAAGATTAAGATAACGCGTGAGTGTATGACATAACTCGGTTATGTCATTCTGAGTCGTGTGAGGCTTTTCTTTGACTGAAAATACCTCGGTAGTAGAAGATTTCGTAATTTCCAAGATTCGATCGGCAGATGCAGCCAGCTCGTCTAAGGCGTTGTTCTGAAACGAGACGAGAACCGCTTGCACCTGTTGACGAAGTTTAGACAAGAAAAGTTGTTTGAATAGACTTTCGTCGAAAGTTCTTGGGCCTATCACTTCTCTCATTCGTTGCAACATGTCCGTCGCAGAACCGTGTTGCAAGTCTATGTTATTAAAGAGTTGATCTAACCTTTGTCGATCGGTTAGGTCTCCTCGTTTAAGAATCGAACGTTTCAAGATTTCTTAAGGTTCGGAAACATCACTAGTAAACATACTAGGTGTTACGTACCTGTTGAATTCGCGCGGTAGTGCCTTGAATACTGCAAGGAATTGTGCACGTGTGTCGTTCACGCCGTGCTCGGAGAAGTCGGCTTCTGCGTAGCAGAACCAGGCTTCGATATTGTCGTGCCAGAAGGGCATCAATTGAAACGAAGGCGGGAACAGTCTTAAGATTTAGTACTTTGGGTGTCTGTTCAGTCATGATGAAATATGAAGTACGATAATGAACGAGGGGAAAATATATATATCCAAGAAAAAACACGAAAAAAATCACAATGTTTAAAAAATAAAAAATAAGGCAATGATATATAAAAATCCCAAAAAGGAACAGACTCACAGTTGCAATTAGGTGTACCAGATCACATCGGTCTCACCAATGAGGATGATACAGGTATTCAATATTTGACAACGCTTCTACCAGTAACACCTTCTAATATAACTTGTTCCCAAAAGACAGAGTCGAAAGGATTGGAAAAGTGTATTTAGCGATAACCAATATATCGGAATTCTCTGATCTAATCTGGCTAGCGATTGCGGTAGATGTTGAGCACAGCATTACTACACGTGATCTGGTGCGGATGCATGACCGAGCGCCTTCAGCTAGATGAGTCCACTAAAACATATGGTCAGTATCCAATGTCGAAAACTTATAGAGCTATTTATTTTGGGGATTTATTTACCGCTACACTGACCTCACGACCAACCATCCTACTTTACCCGGGTTTGGAACCGGCAGTAACTCTAGAAAAGCTATAGGTGGAGTCCGAGTAAGCATTAATTGTGAGACTTTGACAATGTATGAACACAACTGATACTTTTTGACATACGTTGTCACACATTACGGTTCATAATCCAAGTGTAACATTAGCATGAGGATCAAAGTGAGACTCACTCATTGAGTTGATCTGTGATTCAGTAGTTGAGCCTTTTAATTCGGCAATCTGTACCGAATTGAATTGACTTTTGTCCCATCATTTCAGTCATTTTCAATTGTGGTGTTTGAAATTTCGTTTGCTGTAAAAAAGTTTTAAGCTGATATACTGACAATGACATTCTGGAATTTTTTTATCGCATGCGTTTGAGAGAAATAATGTCGCCAGAATCTGTTGTGACGGGCAGTGTCAAAAATCTGATGCTGATACACGGCGTGCCTCGCATCAACCCCCTAACTAACTACGTGAGCTACCGAAATGCACAAATACTCATTCATATATATATATATATATATATATATATATATATATATATATATATATATATATATATATATATATATATATATATATATATATATATACCACTCTATGCCTAGGAAACTGACCCAATAAAATGCACTTGAGATTTAGGTGACTTCTGATTGCCTCTTCATATAACAAATTACTGATCGTGCCTACAAAAATGGCGTAAACATGCTGAGTCAGTAACAAACCATTATTTACCCAGAGTCACCTACACTGAGATTCATCCCATAAGCTACTAAGGAATTATCCCCAACCAACTAGTCTGAATCTACCAACATGACACAGACCAGAAGTTAGTGACTTCAAGGACTGATGCCACGTTTTGGTTTGGCTGACCCGAACTTTCTTCCAACCATCTCCAACACTGGTAAGCATTGCAAAACGTGGTAACCGGTGTTCAGGCATACGTAATGTGACCCAACCATCTCAGTCGATGAAGATTCACAACCTCTTCAACTGCTTTACCACCATTCCATAATACCGTGCGTCTAACCTCACTACAACCTACCCGGTGATCCCAGCAGATGCGAGCTACATTTCTAAGGCATCTGTGGTCAAATACTAGTAGCCTACGAGTATCTTCTACTCTTAATGGCCACATTTTGCAGCCGTAAAGCAGAACAGAACGAACTTCTGATCAGTATACTCAACCTTTAATTGATAGACGGATATCTCACCTTCACCATAAGTGACGTAAGTTGGCAATAGTCAAACGAGATTTTCGAATCCGTGCTAAGATTTCGTCAGAAATCAACCTATTAGAATATAAATGTTATACAATCAAGCTAAAGATTTTTTGTTAACTTACAGAAGGAATATATACAAACCTCAGATATTTTAAGGCGACATATATATATATATATATATATATATATATATATATATATATATATATATATATATATATATATATATAGAGAGAGAGAGAGAGAGAGAGAGAGATTTTGGAAGAAAACATTGTATTCTTAGATGTTTGAACTTCACATTTTTCATTATTTTAACTATAGACTATAATAATGAAGAATATAATAATAATAATACGAGAGCTATACATACATATATTGACTATAATTTAACAAATATCATTTTAGAAATAACCAAATTTGTCATTTTATCTTATATAAACAATTTAAAGCAAAATCATGGATTCATTTTAACAATCAAAAAAAAGAAGAAGAAAGAACAAAAACAAAACAAAAGAAATACAAAAATGCAAATAAAATAAAACAAGCAAAGCATACATGATGTACTACTACTACGACTACTACCACCACCAGTACTACACCTTTCCTGTTACCATAAACATAAGGAGATCATGAATTATTAAATTTGTTAAAAAAAAAGAAATAAGTAAACAAACAAGCAACAGAATTATTATGTTCTTGGAAACTTTCATCAATGAACTGGACTAGTGTTACTATTTTAGTCACGACATTTTCCATCCACATATGGTGATGATGATGACATGATATTTGAACGTGTAGTATTGGAAGTTTCATTATTATTTGTTGTTAATTTTGCAATACTATGATAAGCACTACGTATTAATGAATATGGAAAACAAGATTCTTGTAAATTAGCAGATAAACAAGGTGATTGTTTAATAAGATTATCAAATACAATATAAATTGAATCTCTATGTTTAGCCGATAGAGAATGATTAGAGGAGGATGTTTGAATATTGTTATTACCATAAATTTCTGAAGATATAAGAGATGATGATGTTTCTAGTCCAAGTCTTAAAAGATTTGATGAAGCAAGAGCAAGAAATTCTTTAGAGCGAGCCTCTAAATCACCTGGTCGAAGTAGAGAAAACATGGAAACCTGAAAAATAAATAGACAGCACATTGAATGAAGTCAGTATCAAATAAGTGTTTTTGAGGAGAACAATTAAAAAAACACATGGTCAATATAAAAAATCCATGTTTAAACATACAGCTTTAATGAGCACTAAATATGTTTTGTCAGTCAGTCAGCTACAACGTAGGTCCAGACACATATATACATCGATCCAATTTGCCATACCTCATTAACACAACAAGATGAACACCGGATTCATGAAAGTAGTTAATTCAGAGGTGGTAATATATAAAAGAAAGATTGCAATAAGGATATAGTACAGGAAGAAAGAATTAGTTTGTAGAAAGAAAGATATGAAGCGATTTTAATCTCTTAGGTTAAGGAAAGACAGAGAGTGTATGCACCGACACTATTGTGATAGATTCTGAGCCATGTCACTAAGAGTCTCTAACCATTGGTTACGATAGTCACGCGGACCCCAACCAAGTAGTCTGCATCTCCTAACATGGCTCAGACTAGAAGTCAATGACTTCAAGCACTGATGGGATAATACAATTTAGAAATAATTATTGAACTTATTTATATTTCACTATCAAATAATGTTTATTTTCAGTGAATACATACAAATAAACCGCACCGCTATCAAGAATTGTTAGAGTTCTAGTGAGACATGATGGAAAATGAAATAGATATTACCGATGCTACTAGACAGTGGCTGAAAAATATATTGAAACTCGTAGTCTAAAGGCAATATACTTCCTTCAAAATATGAAAGTTATGGGGTTCTAACTATGATATGAACTGCTGAAGAGTTACAACCTAGGAAGAAACGGTTATCTATTCAGTGCTCTCTAATTCTCAATTGTTGTCTAGCTAAAATCGGTTGGAAATGTAGACTATCTTTGAAAGTTGAATAACCTTCATTAGGCTGTCTCATGTGGAAAGCTACTACAACCACCATCAAGAAGGTACAAGTATTCATCAATAGCTGTATATGCAAGATAATCAACATCCACTGGTAGGATACCATCACTAACAGCCTACTATGGGAGGGAACAAACCAGCCGAGGAGGAAATTAGGAAAAAACGTTGAAAGTGGATAGGACATACATTACAGGAAACACCAAACTGCATCACGAAGCAAGCCCTAACCTGGAACTCTGAAGGGAAACGGGAAAGTGGAGGGCCGAGGAACACACTGGGCTGAGAATGGGAAGCAGACATGAAAAGTATGTATAGCCACTAGAAAGGATTGCCCATGACAGGGTTGGGTAGAGAATGCTGGTGGGTGGCCCATGCTTCTTCACGTGGAGTGACAGGCGTAAGTAAGTAAGCAAATAATGGATATAAGTAATTATCTTCTAAAAAATATACTTCTATATTTATCTTCGCCTCTAGTTGCTTACATATGTAGTTTATTAAGAAATCCCATTTAACAAGATGCTTGTGTATGTTTTACATTAGCTTGATCTATTTATTCATTAACTTGATAAATGAACGAGAAAAGTCTCAGACTTAAATAAAATCTTTTTTAATTCAGATAATTCATTCATATTAATCGGCATATTATTATAACTAAGCATTAAATCTAAATCAAGTGAATAGGTAAATGCTATAATTTTGTGTACAGAATCACACATTTATGAAATTAGTCAGTCAGCTACAACGTAGGACCAGGCACATATAAACATCGGTTCAATTTGCCATACCTCATTAGCACAGCAAGATAAACACCGAATTCATATAAGTAGTTAATTCAGAGGTGGTAATATATAAAAGAAAAATTGCATATAAGGATATAAAATTGGCTAGTTAATGGAGTAATATGATTTTTATGACTATTTTTATTCCTATCTATACTCATAGTTTGCAACACTTTCCGATTACTGCTTATACTTTTACTACCACTAGTACTAAGAGATTTGAGTCGACAACTGCATCTCTGTGCTATATGTGGTATGGCGACTCGAACTGATATACGTACGTACGAAGTTCTACGTTGTTACCGACTGACTAACACTGATTGTGAACCAGAACTTTAACAAAAGTGATTGTTTCTAAATATTTACTAAGTTTTTGAATAATCAGTGCTAAAATGATTCCATAGAAACAAACTAGCAAGTAAATCGTACAGGTCTTTATTTTGAAATGAATTTGAGACGAATGTAGTTGAATTATATGACTAGTTAAGATAGAAAAGAGAACACGATACAAGGACTAACTTCACATGGGTACAATAGATATTTATTCAGATCACACAGTAAATTATCTAAAGTAAATTTTAAGTAAGAGATGGAATTAAAATGATATCTACAGGATAGTAAACAGCTGTAAACTATAGGGAAGGAGAGAACATTGTAACTTATTTACGAAGTCGAAGTCTTATGCATTCGATTTTGCGCTAAACTGTTTAAAGTTGATGAAAAAGGATTTCATATTTTAACCTATCGCCTGAAAGTCGAATGAATGACAGAACATACTTGACAGTCAGGTAAAAGAATTATAGTTAAATCATATTAACGAATTTCAGACCATGATCTTAAAGATTACGCATTACTTATGATTTTATTTATTTATTTATTTGAACACATAAATATTGGTACAGGAGAGCGCCAATATATATGCGCCACACAAAACAATGAAAATTCGAAGAGAGATAGAAAAAAAAACTAAGGAGCACAAAAGAAAAAGAGAACGATAACGAAGAGATTGGTGTAAGGTAGTGTGGTCGTAACGATGGAACGGAAAGGTACAATCAGAAGAAATCTTTCAAGTAAGGGAGACACAACCACTTTTTATGAAGAAAGTAAAAGAAGGTTACAGCAGGATCGCCACTGGCTTCTATTCTGAGCCATATCTGATAACGTCTCTAGCCACTGTGTAGCACCATCTCTCAGACCCCAACCAGGGAGTCGTGAAGGACCGACAGAAGCCAGTCCTTTGCAGCTTTCTTTCATACCACGACACCATGTCATGCACTGACCACCTCTCTGCTTTTTCCAACCAGTCCCAGAGTCGGCAAATAATGCACGACGTGGAATTCTCTGGGACGACATTCGGAGAACATGTCCAAGCCACCGAAGTCGGTGTTTCAAGATGGTGACACCAATTGAATTATCATCTCTGTGCCCGAACACACGATGCCGAACCTCTGCATTACTGACATGGTGTTGCCACTGGATGTCAGCAATCCTTCGGAGACAGTGATGATCGAACACAGAGAGTCGTCTAACGTCCTCAACTCGGAGAGGCCAGGTTTCACAAGCATAGAGCAAAACTGCTCTCACCGACGCGTTGTAGATCCGACCTTTTACAGCCAGACTAACATCACGAAGACGCCAAAGGTGGCCCAGATTGGCATAAGCCGCTCTGGCTTTCACTATACGTGCATTGATCTCATCACTCACACCCCCACCAGCACTTATGCAGCTACCCAGATACACGAACTTCTCGACTACGTCTATCTGCTCACCATCCAGGGTGAGTACAGGATTGGAATCCTGCCAGTCTTGTAGAAGTACTTTGCACTTCGAAGGTGCAAAGCACATACCATACCTACGGACACTGATTTCCAACTGATTAAGTGCGGATTGCATGCCTTGGGCATTATCGCACAGTAAGACAATATCGTCCGCATACTCAAGGTCGAGAAGTCTTTCTCCAGGCAACAGATCCACACCACCATTACTTACATTCATCAGAGCTGTTTCCAGAATGTCATCGATGGCAAAGTTGAAGAGGAATGGTGAGATTGGGCAACCCTGCCTAACCCCACTACTCGAATGGAACAATGGAGAGAGGTGGTTGTATGCCCTCACTCTGCCTGAGGTGTTTTTATATAGGGCTTTTAAGATGTTAATAAACTTCTCAGACACACCCTTCTTCAATAGACAACCCCAGAGAACAGTCCTGTCCAACGAATCGAAGGCAGCCCTGATGTCAAGAAACACTACGATTGTTGGCCTTTGATAAGTATGGCGATGTTCTAACATTTGGCGGAGGGTGAAGATATGATCAATACAACCTCGACCAGAACGAAACCCAGCCTGCTCCTCGCGAGTCAATCTTTCTCGGGTTTTGAACAACCTACGAAGTATGACGGAAGCCAATAGATTGGACGCAATCGGAAGTAGACTTATCCCCCGATAGTTGTTGCAGGAACGACGTGAACCCTTTTTAAAGATAGGGACAACTATCGACTCATTCCATGACGTTGGTACACTCTCTAATTCCCAAACCTTTGAAAACAACGTCGTCAATTCCTTAGTCAAAAAGTCACCACCATCTTTAAAAAGAGCTGGAGGTAAGTCATCTGGGCCAGGTGATTTGTAACGCTTCAAGAGTTGGAGTTCCTTGCGGACTTCCTCCTCGTTTGGTGGATCAGTCGTCACCGGCCATGGAGGGCAGGACAGTCTGACCGATGTTGCCGGAGCAGCAGGCCAGTTGAACTGCCCTTCGAAAAATTCTGCCCATCGTCCAAGACGTCGATGGATGTTGGTGATTGGCATCTCATCATCCTCGCAGATTATTTCACTCACACCAGACTTCTTGCTGCCAGTGGCTCGGATGAGCTGGAAGAGCTTCCGGTAGTTACCAGATGCAGCTGCTGCTTCCAGCTCATTAGCACGCTCCGACCACCAGGCTTCTCGGTCCTTACGCAAGCTTTGCCCAAATTCCCTACGTAGCATCCTTCGTTTATGGTCAAACTCACGGTCACCCGGAGTATACCGACGGGCTTCAATGAGTTGTAAGGAACCAGAAGAAACCCAGTGCTTAAAAGCGGGACGTTTCGCAAACCCACAACTGACTGTTCCCGCCATTTTCATGGCGTCATGCAATTGCAACCAATGCTCATCTATACTTTTCGGTGGAGTGGTAGCTAGCCTAGAGGCTAACTCGGTTCGATACTTATTTGCAACAGAAGTTGCAACCAGCTTGCTAATATCAATCCTTTGATGGCGGTCACTTCGTTGTCCACTGAAAAGTAAGGCAAGATTGGCGCAGACCAAGGCATGGTCAGAGTCCAGATAGGTACTCCAAAAGGAGCGGCAGTCTTTTACACAACCACGCCAGCGGAAGCTGATCGCGATGTGATCAATCTGAGTCCAGGCTTGGGATGCAGAGGGAGGACGCCAGGTGGCACATCGGCGATGACTGTGCCGAAAGTTAGTGCTAGCCAGAAACAGGTTGTGGTCTGTGCAAAGTTGCAGTAGACGGTCTCCGTTATCTGACCTGCGACCAACGAGTCCCCATCGGCCACCTAAACGACTCTCTTCTGTGCCTAGACGCCCGACCTGAGCATTCAAGTCTTCGGCTAGTACTACAATATCTGTCGAGCGCACTTTCTGGAGAAGAACAGATAACTGGTGGTAAAACTCATCCTTGATTGCATCCGGGCTGCAATCTGTCGGGGCATAGGCGGAGATGACGAAAAGACATCGTTTCTCACGCCAATTTCTTCTCACTTTGATGGAACTTTCTAATCTAACAGCACATAGCCGACTGTTAATGGGGATCCAATCAACTAGTGCTGCCTCAGCTCTAGCGCTTAGTGCCACACCAACGCCAGCAAGACCAAACGAAGATGCCACAGGGTCCCCGGATAAGCGCACGTAAAACAAGCTTTTCGAAGCGACAGATGGAGATCGAATTTGTAGTACTTCGCCAGAGTCTTGAATACGGGTCTCGGATAGACAACAAACATCAATATTAAGACATTAAGACATTACTTATGAGAACAGAATGATATCGTTAAGAAACAAGTCAAGTGTGTGCAGTGTTATAGAGTGGTATAACTGACACTAGAAATGATCGATCATGAACTTGATATGACTTATATTTGGAGTATATCTTTCTGAAGAACACCGAATAGTAACTAATTACTGTAAATATCTCAGTCCTCTTAAACTTTGATTGACCACCGAATAGTTCAATGGAAACACCTCTAACTTTAACAATAACTGATATGGATTCAAATCTTATAGGAAGCATTATTTACATGAAAATGATAAATATGCAATATTGGTAATTGTCAATTATCAGGAAACCTAGTTTCATGATTTCCTATGGGTTGGCTCTCCCAATACCTACTATTTCTGCAGAACAATAAACTACATAAAATATAATTTATAACTTACCATTAAAGTATTTACTGCATATGCAATACAATGACAATTATTTTCATTCGCTTCTAAATCTAAACGATATAAACTAGAATCTTGACGTGCTAATCGTGGAAAAGCATTAGCAACAAATACAACAAATAAACAAGCAATATGATATTCTAATTCTTGATATGATGCATTTCCAGTACCATTCATAGATAAATTTAATCCAGCTTGATTTGCAGTAGCCAATATAGCTATACGTCGATTATTTAAAATTGAGCATAAATTATAATCTAAATCAGAGGATATACCAACAGAAGCGCATAGATTATTTAACATTAATTGTTCATTGAAATGTGCATATATACGTTCCATTTCATATTTTCCATTATTTTCTATAGATGATCCAGTTAATTGAGCATTATTATTTGACTTTTGTGTTATGTAATCACGAAGGTTGTGAACAGTGTCCAGAAGAAATGGAGTACGTTTCTGGAAACAACACACATCAAATAAAATATAATTAACAACTTATTATGTAACTCATTTACTAAGTGAGAGTTTATGAAGTCGACAGCGTTAAACATATACTAGACAGTGCTACTATACAAGTGTCCAAATCGGAGCAGATGGAACGGGATCCAAATCTACGAACATTTTAACCATTAGGCCACCATTACAGAGTCAAGTGATGAGTCAGAAATGAAGATTTAAGTCACTAGCCGATCAATCATCCTACGCTTTGATCGGGAGTGTATACTTAACTAATTAGTTAGAAAATGATAATTTGTGAACTAAGTTTGGAGTTCTAATTATTACCTGGAAATCAGTCATAAAACGAAACAGTTCTCTATATGTAAGATATTGTTACTTGACATAGTGGCTATGATATATATGAAGTTGTTAATATTTTTAAATCAGACCTTTAGGTCAAACGCTAAGGGAGTGGCATCCTAAGAAAACCACCTGCTTCGGTTTGGGCACCCAAGCAGTATCCCAGCCCTCACACAAGTCGAATGATTTATGTGGTGCACATCTATTTGTTGCCTTCTTGTACCAATGTTTATGTGTTTAAATAAATAAAAAAACGAAGAGGTTAAGGGATTTTCCCTATTTCATATTTTTGAGGTAGAAGCTAGAAGTGTCCTACAGTAAAAATAAGCTGTAAAAAACATCGATTACGTAGTACTTAAATCTACAAAATATGTAAATCATGTTTTGATGACATTGACAAACACTCACATACACTTACCTGTAGTATAGAATGAACAGCTTCAAAGCATAATTTACGGAAAGCAAGTGCTACACCAATCTCCTTTAACAGAATTAAAAGTTGATCACAATTTTGTAAATTCCCATTAAGTTGACGAGTTCTCACTGGATCATTTATACACTCTCGTAAACATTCAAGAGTACCACGGTTTTGACGAACTAGTTTGTTGATTTCATCAACACGATCACCAACAGAATGCATTAATCGATCGCAAATAAACTTTATCCCTAATGGTCCTGTAGTGGTAACGTAAGAATATAATGGTAGGTGAAAAAAAAGTCAAACCAAAGTGTTAACAATAAATCTTGATCTATCAATGCCAGGAATGTTGAGAGTGATATTAGCTACGCTGATAGATATCGCTCATTCGGTTATAATCAACATATAGCCTAGTACAAATATGAGTTAGCCCAAATAACCATATCGATTCATGACAATGAGATGAAATTAAGAAGTTAAGTAGCGAGTTCAAAATAATAGTAGTGTAGTGAACGAAGACTTGGTAGGGGAGACCAATTTATTGCTTTATGCAAAGTCACACAATGCCGTCGTAAAATATGAAAACCATACATTAATCACATTATTTGTACATCTTCCTTCAGTAGTCCTTTACATACTTGGTGATTCTTCCAATTCCACTGTTATTTTAATTCCTCTTTGTTTCTCTTCCTGTTCTCTCCAATTAAATCTTATGCTGGTAGACATTCCACTTCCGATTGCTGCTACATATTACTTATATCTGTCAGCATAAGAAAGGCATACTACAGTAGTAGTATTAGTAGTAGCAATGGTAGCGACAAAGACTTAATATCGAGAATACGGTTTGAAAAGAAGGAATCAAAAGAAGTGGCTAAAAGGATACTGAGACTCGAGATCTAGAGAAAGATAACGAGTAAATGTATGCGTCAGAGACAGATTTTCTAAGTATCACTTAACGTCTTCAACCACCAATTTCACCTATTACATAAAAATTAGCTGTAAACATTGGTCGACCATTGCAGAAGAACATGTATATATGAGATTTAAACTGGTCACTGATAAACAAATACATACCCGACTGTAGCTGCTACTTTGACGTGGTGGTCAGACTTGTCTATTCTGATGAATCAATAGAGTTATGTTGGCTGGAACCCACGTCCCTTTAGGTTCTACTATGCCAGGCAAGTCAGTCGAAGAACGGTAAGATTAAAAGAAGCAACTTAAAGCCCGAGAGAGAAGTCGAACTGCTGACTGTAGAGAGATGTGACAGCAGCAGAGTGTCTCTCTTGAACAACCAGCATCTGCAGCGATGCTGCCTTCTCACAACGGAAGGAAGGAGTAGGAAAAGGTTAACCCTAAAATATCACACCTGACGTTACCCCACAGATTTCCATTTCCAGCGGTAAGACCTTCTGAATTGCGGAGCTAGTGCATCAAAAGCTTTACATAAAAAGGCCATGCACGACCGGTCTCAAGCAGCTGTTCCTTCGGCTCTACAGTCACGCTCCCAGGTCGCTAAAACCACCACCTATTCAACTTCTTTTTCAGGTCCCTCAAAAAGAAAAGTCCTTTCCCGGTGTGAGCAACCGGTAAGTGACAGCCACTTTCAAACCTCTATCAGCGCCCGAGACCATCGTGTTGACGATCAAATACCTCCCCCATCTCTTAATAATTTTCCCGTCCACATGACTAACCCTTCTCATCAGTTCTTGTCATCACGTGCCACCAATGCCAATGATTCGAGTTCACGAAATGTTATTCTCGGTTTCCTGAAACCACGCTCTAAACTAAATGTTGAAGCTTTTAATGTTCGAACCCAGTGCCAGATAGAAAAACAGGATTCCTTAGCTAGGATTGTAGAATCTCGCGCCATTGATGTATGTCGCGTCTCCAAAAACGCGCATGAAGGACCCAAGTATGGTCTTTCATCCGACCTCACCTTGTAAGCATAAAGAACCGATACAATCTACCCTTCGAGTGTCTGGAGACCCCAATGCTACTTCCCATAGACAAGGTGTAGGTGTTCGGAGGCAGAACATGCTCTCCTAAACTGGGTTCTATTAAGCAGTTCCTTGTACGCTGTTTGATTAAACAGGACAGAAAGAACCCGAAAAGATAGGAACACACACTGTTGCCCCTTCTTTGTCTCTGCCTACTCTCCTGTTTATTTCAGCTCGAATGAAGTTAAAGATGAATTTTAAAGGAAACTATCCAACTTCCTTCAAAAAGCTAAACGCTCTGACGTAGTAAGTAGCAGGATCTTACGGTGTTGCTGATCAACTAACAGGTAATGGCGACCATATGTTGCAAATATCCTCAGATGACCGTCTATTTTTGGTAAACACCGACTTTAAGCTTAAGGAAAAACATCGTCTGGCATAGTGACCCCCACAACGGACTCAACGATGGACTCAAATAGATCACATTGTCATCAGCCACTGTTGGAGGGGCTCGATAGAAGACTTTAGCTCATTCTGGAGTACATGTTCAAACTCGGATCCGTGCTGGAACTATTATCCACTCTCAATCCAGGGGTTTAACAGATGGGCAGAACACTTCAGGGAAACAGTTCAACTGGTATTCAGCCGTACGTCGGTTATCCATTATCTCCAAACAATCGGAATAGCAAATTAATATAGGTCCTGCAGTTTTTAGTGTGATTGAAAAAGCTATTAGGAAACTAAGGTGACAGAAGGTAACAGGGCCTAATGAATTAACCCTTGAGATTTTTTCAGAATGGAAGTTCAGTTTTAGTAGTTAAGTTAACTAAGATCCAAGATACGATCTGGAAGATGGACATAATTCTCTATGACTAGTCTCGACCAGTGATTGTACTAGTCTACAAGGAAGGACAAAGGTCCTCTTATAACAATCAGGTAGTCAGCTACAACGTAGGATCAGGGACATATATGCATCGGTCCAAGTTGCCATACCTCATTAGCACAGCAAGATGAATACCGGATTCATAGAAGTAGTTAATTCAATGATGATAATATAAAAAAGAAAGATTATGACAATCACGGAGAGATCAGTTTAACTAATATAGTGTCTACAATATTAGTCGCAATAATATTTCGATACCTAACTATAGCTCATAAAGGGTAAACCTGGAAAAACCAGGCTGGTCTCAGACCTGGACATGGATGTAAAGACCAAATACTCACCCTTCTGCAGATTCTAGGATATAGACATAGTTTTCGACGTACTACTATAATTGTATTCCTTGACCGTAAGGCGGTGTCCAACTCTGTTAATTGTGAGGTTCTGTAGTAGTTTCTGTCTTTGGAAGAGGTACCAAAGAAGTACATCGGCATCGTACAGCATATCTGCTCAAACATTAATGATCAAGTTAGAGCTTATGGTGAGCTGTAATCGGAATTAGTTACTTCAAGTGATGTTAGTCAGAAATGACTGCTTCCCCCATTTTTTTTTACCTAACTTTGCCATAAACAATTTTTTGCAAATAACACTTTCATCTTCTGACTTTTCAAATGTTGATCTCCCATCAGAAGATTCACTTGGTGACGCAGATGATATAGTTCAGTTCGGCGAAGACGCCGACAAAATGCAGTCTTCTGACCACCTTAAGCAACATTGCAGGCATAATTGGGATGCATTCCTCTCCATCTAAATGCAAAGCATTTTCTTCAAGATCAGTCCGCGTCAAAGTCTGAGATAAGGATAGTGAGTGAAGTAATTGGACGTATCGATCTCTTCACTTATCTTGAGAGTCTCATTAGTACTGATTCGTCTGGTGTTTGACGAAACCTCGACATGGATTCAGAAGACTCGGCAGGCTTTTGCCAACATGCATAATTTGTGGAATAGGCAAGATATTTGTATTTCAATCAAAGGACGATTTTGCTACACATTAATTCACTTTATTCTAATCTATGGGTATAGAACATGGTCATTAGGAATAGAGGATATTTTCAGATTACTAACATTCGATCACAGGTGTCTACGACGCATTGCACGTGTATTTTGGGACCATGGGGTAACCAATGTCTGGGTTAAGAATAGGGTATTAAGTGAAGACAGGAAATCTTCAATTGAGGTGGTTGGGACATGTATTACGTACGCCAAAACACCGTCCACCTCAATGGGCGATGTTGTCTAGTGTAGCACTAGTCCTTAAAATTTCTTATATATGTACTATTGTACAGTTTGATGATAAATTCGTTGAAAAGTGAACGCTTCGCTCAATTTCGTGTTCACATCAGTTAAAATACACAAGCCTCACAATGCGATATGCAAATTCTGACATCTTACCCACCAAAATAGTAATATAGGTTAAATTTATGTTTGCTTGTACGCAGCACAATGTAGATTGAGAAAAAAACTTTCTTCTCCCCAATGATTTCCTTGAAAAACAAAACAATAAAGCGAAAGAAATCATACAATTTCCTTACTCACTTACCGATAAGTTCTGTCAAAGCTAGTAGTTCATTTAAATCAGCATAATCTTCTGCTCGAAATTTTACAACATCAGGTGAAACTAAAGTAACAAAACTCTTCAATAAAGGTGAATAAACAAAATGATCTAGATAAGCATGTTTAATAACATTTTCTAAATACCATTCAGCATAATGCGCTGTCATTGTTAATTGTCCCTAAAGTAAAAAAAAATGAGAGAAGTATGTATATCATACACATATTTATTGATGAATCCGGCTCTTATTAAAATAATCACTAAAAACAAACGGTTAGAGTTATTTTCCGAAATTTCTAACATAACTGTTTACATTCTTATCTTAGTGCATATCGGGATACATAACCATGAACATTGTTTGAGTATAACTCAACATCGCGCATACTAGGTTGAGATGTAAGGTGATGGTTGGAGGTGGTTGGCAGGAAATCATCAGTGATAACGTCTCTAACTGTGAAACTGGGTGACATGGGATTGAATCGTCCATTAAGATTACAGGTATACCTTGTTGACGAGTGCCGAAGAGCACAAAAACTAGGTCCAGGGATTCCCGTAGACCACCTCCAACCATCACCTTATAGTTGCACTCCCATTTCAAACTCATCATCAACGATATTATGGAAGTAACTCCGAAGAAATACTTCATAATCTTAAGCATGAGAACGATACTGTCTTAATAAGTGCTGACATAGGCATTTAAATCAATGTCTACAAGTATAGTATGTACCTTGAATTATCAAATTTTAAAGTATTTATGCAAGACTAGTGAAAATAAGTTTCTGTATGTACTCTCGAAAATGTGTATTCAATGATCACATTGTAATGCTGAAGTCCGGCAAAGTATAGGGATCACTGATAGCTTTGAGACATTATCTTCAAACGTCAACCTATGAGCGCAGAAACGTTCTGCACATTTTGTTTTATACTAAGGACAATTTGTGGGGAATTGGAGTTACTGGAAAAAGGACAGACTGGTTATTTTATAAAGAGTAGTTCATCATGACACATCGGACTAAATCTTAGACATCATGCGAACAAGTAGCTAGATATGTCTCAGAAAAAAAACTCGTAACAATCCCGTCGTAGTTTCATATTGCATTCTTCGTAAACAGCAAGCTGCACAAGTGAGTTTTGATTTTGCCTTTATTTAAATTGTATACTTTAAGAATGAAGTTAGTGGAATTTTCAGCTTAAGTCACGAACTGATATTAGCTAAGTGATCATTTAAAACCAGGAATCGTCGGAAAGCTGTTCTGTCCTAGTATGGGGATCCACAGACCCGCTCGGGATTGAGCCCAGGACCTTCGGCCTCACGCGTGAGCACGGAAATTTGAATGGCGACTGAGTGGTCTAGAGGTTAAGCGTTAGAATCCGAGACCGAAGTTCCTCTGTTCGGTCACCGATAGTAAGGACGTGGATACTCATTGTTGAGGTGTCCCACAACAAGAGGTAAAACCTTTTCAGTATATCTGAATCGTTACTACCAGTGAACTCTGTAACTTGTGAAGAAACCAAAACATCTAGTTAAGGTGAAAATATACCAATAATCGAGAGTAGTAACAACGGGAAAACATAGACCCTTATCACTATTAATATGAATCTATTTATATGATCCTTATTTTATGTATGATATGAGGCGATATGCTGTTTTGTGTACAATATTTCGTCGAACATCCTACTATATTATTCACTTATTGTGTAACAGATAAAATATAAAAATGACATTTAACAATTATCCGTGCAATAAAGGAAAATAAATGAGAATAATAACGATGAACAGAACAAATAATATCCTTTATGAATATTATAAACATGCCATTAATAGATTTAAAAAATGATAAATGAATACTTACACGGAATGCATCCACTGGTTGAGTATGTTGAGTGAATACAGTAGAAAATAATCCAATCACATCAATACAAACATGATTTTCCAAATCTATAAGAGCATTCATTAAAGCTCGCACACGTCGAAGTAATTCTGATGGTTTAGAAGCAAGTGATTCAGATGTATTGTCATGAGAGCTATGATGAAAATTAAAAAATAATAATAATAATTAAACTTTCAATCTGTTTCTTAATTGAAATGAAATTGCATAACAGATAAATTAGGAAATGAAGTGATTTATTAAGTTTATGATTGACGTCAAAATTCTATCTACATTCTCATAATCAATATTTATTACCTAAACATAGTGATTATTTTTTTGGTTGTTGCTAATTAAATTTATAACTTTTAGTTGTTATGTAACTCGTATTTATAAACATTGATTAGTGATGAATTATTATAGCGTATTTCTAATTGCATTGATGTATATAAAAAACTGAGAGCACGTATTCATTTAACGGAAGAAATGTACATAATAAATATATGCTTTTAAGGATAATTCTATGGTGATTTAACTTTTCAAGGATTGTTTTGCTCTCTTAATAGTTTGAATTATGTGTTTGTTAACTTGTCATATTTATAATGCATGGGAAAGATTTGTCTAATTGCTAAAACAGAAGTGTTTTGAACAATAGTCTGCACTCCGGAAAACCGTGATAAAGCTGGAGGTAAAACGAGTGTTTAAAGCTCCTACCATGGAAATCCTACTCCTTATTATCATGTCGCAAGTGTACATGGGATTCAAATTCTTTATGTAACAAATGATATCAGGTTACTTAAAACTTATCAAGATTAGTACATCTAGGGACCAAAATAAATAAGATCAATACAGATAAAATGAAAATATGGGAAATAAAGAGACAGAGAGGGTATCACGAAAACAAATAAATGAATTAAACTAGTGAATGACAATAGTATGCAATGGTAGAGACAGTTCAATTTTGAAAAAATAACAATAAGGGATTCTTTCAGTCCAAGGAATTCCTACCACGTTTGTGAAGAATGTGAAAAAAACCACACCACTAGTTTTTAGTGTGAGCCATATCTGACAACTTCCCAAGTTATTGAGGTGCACCATATCGGACACCGACCAGAGAATTGTGATGGAATAACAAGTGCCAGTCCTATAAAGTTTTCATACCCCGCTGCCATCACAAACTGACTACCTATCAGCTTATTCTACTCTATCCGAGCGTTGGCAAACAATGGATGGTGTGAACGCCGCTAGGACATATGTTCAAGCCACTGAACACTATACTTCAAGATGGTCATAAAAATCCAGTTATCGTTACGTGCCTAGGCATACACAGTCAGACCTCAGCATCACTAACATAGTGTTGCCACTGAATGTCAACAATCCTTCGGAGACAACGATAACCGAACACAGAAAGTCACCGAAAATCTTCAGAACGGAGAAACCAAGTTTCGTAAGCGCAGAACAAAACTACTCTCACCAACGCGTTGTAAACTCGACCTTTTACACCCAGATTGGCATAACGTCACAATGGTGCCCAAAATGACTCAGATTGACATGAACCGCTCTGGTTTTCACTGTATATAGACTGACCTCGTCTTTTACGCTACGACCACCACTCATACAGCCACTAAAACACAAACTTTTCGACTGGAATTTAAGTATGAGAAGAAACACTACAAGTATCTACAAGCCCATACATAAATGTATATGTATTGCAAGAACCAATATAACAAAGAGAACTTACGCAAAACTCGAATAACTAGCAAGCAAATCAATAATTCTGAATTGTATTTCATTTTGAAGTATTTCACGTGGATTGATAACTTGATCAAAAACCAATAATTCCCGATGATGGTTAACAGAATAACATAGTTGACTTAATCCAAATAACGTTTTATCATTTATAGTTTGCTCTTCTCGATTAGTTCTAAAGCTTTCCACACCCGGAATAAAACGTGAATCAAAAGACATATTGTTTGATAGAGTAAATTTGTTGTTAGTAGAAATGTTGATAGGTCCATTTAACCGTTTACCTTTTCTTGAATCTATTCCGCCTGTGTTCATAATTCCATTTACATTCTGTCGAGTATTAATGATTGGTTTCTTGCCTTTTTTTGCTGGTTTCTCATCCGTAAGCCATGGTACAGAATTTTGTGGTGCTAACTGATCAGCCATATTTCCAAATTCATCAATACGATTGAATAAATAAAGACATATATTATCCGCGATTTCTTGACAAAAGTGACGACATAAATTAGCTGCGTTACGACCAATATGTGAACGTTCTTCTGGGCACAGATCATGACATGCTTGTATAGCCTGAGAACAAATGCTTGGGAACACAATCGTAAATCTTAACTGTGCAGGGCATATACGACAGTTGGAAAATAGTTCAGTGAATTTAGAAGGATAAAATATAAAAATGGACATGTCCGAAACTAATCGAAGCAGTTCATCCAAATAATCAACCAACTTAGTATGCAGTATTGTAGAATTTATATGCTCAACAAGTCGCCGGTAATCACTCAAACTAGCAGCAGAAGCTTCACATGACAAACAGGCTTGTAAACGCAACCAATCGAGTCGAATCCCAGAAAAGTCAAACAATGTTGATTGCATAGGACTTAGATTTGTTTCACGTACAACAGGATTATCAGCAAGCTCACATAATTGTTTTGCGATAGAATTGAAGATAACAGATTCTTCATTATTTACATGTGGCAAAATATCTTGCACATATTCACTTAAACCAGGTCCATCATAACAACCCAATAACTGGAGATAGAAACGTTGTATAACAGGACTGTAACGCATAACTAGGGAACGAAGCTCATCCATTCTAAAAAGCAATTCCGGTAAGAATGGATCACTAAGTTCGTCACTTGAAAATGGACCTGTACGTGAAGCCACAGTAGCACTTTTCTTTACTATAGGGTTGGCAGAATGTCTTAAAAGCCAGTGAACTTCATCTGAGGCATATGATAAGCCCCAGAATACCAAAAATGCCTTGGGACCCAACAATCCAGGTTCATCAGACAAAATAAGATGAAGTTGACGCAAAGATAAGCGTAAATAAGCTCGCCTGTCAGCATGCATTTTAGGAGTTTGTGAGCATGCAATTGAAAATGTCTCTTTAATTTCATTTATACGTTTAGCACCTACCTTATTAACCCACGAAGACTCGAGAAATGATTGTAGAAGAGAATGGATATAAATTACTTCTTCTCTGAAGAGCACAACAACATATGAATGACGTAGGGCTACTTTCAGTCGATTGAATGAGTCTTCATCAGTCAATTCAGGGTATATCAATAAATAACCAAAAACTACCCATCTTTCCATCACCTCATAAGGTATTAATTCACAACCTAATTGTTCTCCTAGGACAGTGTGGGTTACTTTGCTTGGCTCATGTAAAATATCTAAAAAATGTCCATCACTCCAATTTTGAGCTCTTACTGTTCGTCGATTGTAAAAATCATTTAAAGAACGAAGAGCTCTTGATAATGTACGAGAATAAGGATTTATCTCCTTGTGTAAACGATTAAGCATACCTTCAGAGGTCTCAGTAAATATTTCTGCCATACGTGGATAATTAGGTTCTTGTTTTCCATGTAGTTGATCGTACAAAAAATTGAAAAGAATCAAAATAGCTTTAGTGTCTGAGATACGTGTTATGAGAAACATCATTGCGAAATAATTACTAACGAGTTCCAAATAAATCCGCGTAACGTCAAAGTTAACAGTGATGTCAGGAGTTATTTTTGAAGATGCCAAACATCCTATGAGATCAATGAAATGATCTCTTACATCAAGAACATCAACAAAGTTAAAATAGTAAGTTGATAACATTGCAAACAACTCCTTTTGATGATTAAAAAATGGCTGCATACTGGATGGATTTGATCTGACATCAACTGAAGGGAATTTCTTTAACAAAACTTTCCAAGCCCCATCGAATGCTTTGTCACCACCAGGGAGTACAGTTGGGCGGTATTCAGGTGTACTAAGCATTTGTTTCATATAGTGGATACGAGTCAGCACACCAAGCTGACGATCATTTAAGATAAACAAACGCTCAGCTAACTTTTGATGTATTAGGGACATCTTTTATGACATATAATCTAAAAGAATGAAAATTTTGATATAATTAAAAAACTTCTTGTTTGATACTCATATGTAGGACAATGAAAGGCCTACTTATCAAAATGAAAAATGCATGAAAATGTCGGTATAATATGAAAGACGTTACAAAAATAATAAGAAATAGAGAATATTGAGTGAATAACGACATTTTGTGATTACTGGTATTCAGAGCAAAAACGTTACAGAACTGTCGAAACTAGTTTTTAGTGAGTATTCTCTGAGCTAGACATCTAAGTTGCAAGGACTCCATTGCTCTTGTGAACATTATTAGAGCCCACTTCGTGTGAGATTTTCATCTATTCCATAATGTAAAAATCCCACTACATGTAATACGTATGAAGCAAACATCTGGTTTTGCAGCCAGCGTAAAGATTACCAATGTTGTTACTGAATATTATGTTTAACATGTGATTTTAGCTCCTACAAAATGTTTTTCATTTTATTAACAAATCGGGATTTTACTATGTTCTTATACTCCTACAGAAAGCCCTCTGAAAGCAAAACCGATTTCAGTAAAAAAATAATTTCGCGGAAAACGGAAAGTAAACAAATGATATGGGAACAACTACTCGGTATCCACGTTGTGGAATAATACTAATTCAAAGAAATACTTATGTGCAGTAAAGACACTTCATTTTTTTGTAAACGCCATGTAATATGTTGGTGTGAGCAGAAAGATAATACGTAAAACGACCATGATAAACCTCCACCTACCAACTAAAATACAGGTTTTATAGGTTGAAATATCATCTATACAATAGCGAAGAAGTATAGTTCTAGAATACAGATGGGCTATTTCAGTTAAATCTAGCCGACGTCAACTATTGCGCAATAGCAGAATAATTCTTGTCCAATAGTTAAATAACCGATCTTTAAGATCATTACATTTATACACTTGTTTTCGCGCAAACGTTTCAGAGACTTTGTCGCTGATTTTTAAAATTAATAGTTTGCAAAATGTCTCAACAAAAAAAGATGTCACTGTCTATTCTGAATTAGTCAAGAGACAGGATGTACCGTGTCAAAGTGATTATAAAGCGTAAAGTGTTTCGACTTTCCAATATTAACTACCTTTTATACCATGCTCTCATAACGACCTGTAGTCACAATTTGACGACTTACCTTGAAATTGTAATACCCACAATTATAAATTTGGCATTCAATATCGCCGGTTTTAGTACAATGGAAGGATTGAAAGTGTCTGTTGTTTTTAGTTATGAGAGTTTAACAGCTTACATTATCTAATGCTCAATTTTAAAAAGTAGGATCTGTTACTATTTGATGAGGAAAAGAGTTTTATACGTTCGTGGTTCAATCTAGTGGTTGGTGGACAGTCGATAAAAAGTTGGCTTCATATTTGTGTAGTAAGAGGAGAAAGCCTATGGTGTATGCTATTTATTTTCTAGTGTGCTTCTGTGAGTGTCCAATCTTCTCTTGAAAGAGTCAAGTGAAGGTGCGGACACCATTGCTTCTGGCGGCAGGTTCCAAGTATTGATCAATAAGTGTAGAAACCTGTATGCCACGGATATTTTGTTCGCCCTTGGCCTTTCTATTCGCCTGTTATGCCCCCTGAGATGTTCCGATCTGGTGGGAGGAAAAAGAGAGAATACGTTTTGCCCAAAATCACTTCTCAGTATTATGTACATCAGAACTAGATCTCGCCTTAATCTGCGATAGGATGTCCAATTTTTCTACGATACTCGAGTCACCTTTTGAAACAAGAGCTTGCAGCCTGAACGCAGTTATCAAGCTTAGTTCTCACCAAGGATGTGTATACTGTGGTGAACATGGTAGTACCTAATTTAGCGAATGTCCATTTTAAAGCACAGAAAGTTCGAAACTCTTTAGTTGCAACCTTTCGGCAATGGGCCGTCGTCTTAAAGTCATGACTCACTGTCACCCCTAGATCTTTGTGAGACCGGAACACGGGTAATGGCACTTCCACTATGTTTTACCTATTAGCCTTTGAATCCCCAAAGTGCATGTAGACACACTATGCTGCGTTGGTAGGCACCAGCCACTCTTTAGACCAGTTAATCATATTATTTAATTCTGCCTGCCACAAAATAGGCATCCATAGCCTCTGCTTTTACCTGATCTTTCTCTATCATTTTAGATTCACTTCCTACTTTAATTAGGTTATGAATCCAATGATGCATCCTTGTTTTATAGTTTATGCACGAGAATATTCTCTTGGGCTGCTTGAGTGCATATTGTGCCAATTTCACTTCATATTTTCTTTGAGATTCCCAAATTTTTGTTATGCACTTGTTTCTTACCGATCTGTAGCGTTCCATCGTGCCTGCTGTGCCAAGGCGGATTGCAACATCCCAACATTTCTTCTTTTGTCTTAGTAAACGTCGAATATTATGGCCTATCCGGGGATGGCCTTGCTTCTTCTTCTTTGGGACTGTTCAAGGTATGTGTGGTTGTGTTACCCGATTGCATAACTGCGTGAAATGAGTTCATGCTTCTTGTACTGATGCATTTGAGTTAATTTCCCAGTTTTTAGCCGGTGCTGCGGAGTCGATTGCCTCCATATTTGCCTTCCATATATTAGGACGGCCGGCGTAACTGTTTGACAGGCAATATCAGCTTTGAATTTGAATAATATGACTACATAGTCACTTCGTCTAGTGGTGAGAGTTAAGTAATTTGACCAACTACGTCACCTTGTGTGAAGACTAAATCTCAAAGTCATATCTTGTGGGGTTTCTAATGTGTTGGGATAAAGCTGGTCCAATTGAGGTTTCTAAAAGTTTGCAATCGAACGACGTTATCGATGATCATACTTCTAAGTTAACTCAGTTTATATACCGTGCATTAAAGTTACATACTACAAGGCTTTTATTCTTTCGATAAAAATGTGTTGTATTTGCGCTATACATTTCGAACAATCTGGTCACACATATACTTGTCAAGGCATTTTTATATGATAATTAATAAAGGTCAAACAAATAAAAGTACAATTAAAATAACTATGGGGAGAGAAAGAATAAGAAATTGTCGTGTTATCCTAGGCCATAAAATGACTTAAGGATTACCAAGGTAAATTCAAGGTTACGACAAATTGTTTTTGTACGCATAAGGGGGGTTTAAATTTACGAATAGCTAAGGCTTCAATAAACTTAAGAATTCGACTTTGACAATTTCTATACAACATTCTAAATGCTGTATTAATGTTAATCTTGTGCCCCATCTCAATTATGTGTTTTGCTATCGATGAACGTGGTTTTCTACCTCCTACATTGATCGGGTCATTTGACACACACTGATTTTGAAGCCATCTGGGCACATGTTCATTGACCCTTGATTGCATTGTTCGATTACTCCTCCATATGTATGTGTGTCCACAGAAACATGTAAATTGGTAAATACAATGGGATGTGACGTAATCATTAATGCATTGTTTGGGTCTATTAGGAATCACGGCCTGAGACTTTTCAGTCACAACCAACTGAGCAGCATAATACGTATTCTCAATGGCTGCTTTCAATCTCTGTCTTAAAACTTGCTTTCATTCTTGTTACACAAGGACTTAAGTTTGCTTAGGAGAAAATCATCTGCTACACATTCTGGACTGCGATATGACACAGTTTGCCGTCTACATTTCAGCTTACGTCTCACCAGTTCACATGTCCCCTACGGTTTAATGTATCAGCCTACTGGCTAGAAACCGTTATGCCTGTTACTCCTAATGGAGCATAGGCCGCCAACCAGAATTCTCTAACCCACTCTATTCTCCACATTCTTTTCTAGTTCCGTCCAACTCTTGTTCATTTTTCTCATGTCTAATTCCATTTCCCAACGTAATGTGTTCTTTGGTCTTTCTCTCCTCCTTTGGCCTTGAGGATTTCATGTGAGGGCTTGTCTTGTGATGCAGTTGTGTGCGTTCCTCAATGTGTGTTCTATCCACTTCCAGCGCTTCTTCCTGATTTCTTAATCCGCTGGGATCTGGTTTGCTCTCTCCCACAGTACGTCGTTGCTAATAGGTCCGGCCAACGAATGCGAAGAATTTGCGTAGAAAACTGTTGATAAACACCTGTATTTTCTGGATGATTGCTTTCGTAGTTCACCAGGTTTCCGCCCCATATAGTAGAACTGTTTTGATATATGTATTGAAAATTCTGACCTTGGTGTTGGTTGACAGTTGATTTGAGTTCCAGATGTTCCTCAGTTGTAAATATGCTGCTCTTGCTTTGCCGATCCGCGCCTTCACATCTGCATCAGATCCACCGTGTTCATCAACGATACTGCCAAGATATGCAAAGGTTTTTACATCTTCCAAATCTTCTCTGTTAATTGTGATTGGATTGGTGCATGCTGTGTTGTATCGGAGAACCTTGCTCTTCGCTTTGTGTATGTTGAGACCTATTGCTGCTGAGTCTGCTACTACACTGGTCGTCTTCTCCTGCATTTATTGTTGCGTTTGGGATAGAAGAGCCAGATCATCTGCGAAGTCTAGATCGTCCAACTGCATCCTAGATGTCCATTGTATCCCGTACTTCCCTTCAGATGTTGACGTCTTCATGATCCAGTCAATCACCAAGATAAAGAGAAAGGGTGAGAGTAAGCAACCTTGCCTAACACCGGTCTTCACTTCGAACGACTTTGTCAACTGTCCTCTATGCACAATTTTGCGGTTTAATACATCATATGAATTCTGTATGGTATTAAATATCTTCTGAGGTACGCCGTAGTATCGAAAAAGCTTATATAGTGTTTTTCTGTCCACGCTGCCAAATACTTTTTCGTAGTCATTGAAGTTGATGTAGAGTGATGAATTCCATTCAATTGATTGTTCCACAATGATCCGTAGAGTTCCGATTTGTTTTGTACACGATCTATCCTTACGGAATCCTGTCTGTTGGTCTCGAAGTTGGGCGTCTACGCAGTCCTTCATCATGTTTAACAATACCCTGTTGAAGACTTTTCATGGTATTGAGAGAAGAGTGATGCCCCTGTAGTTATCACACTTACTGAGATTGCTTTTCTTTGATCAGGAGTTCTGCTTTCCAGTCTTTTGGTACTTGTTCCTCATCTCAAATCTTATTGAAGAGAATGTTGAGTATCCTTGCAGTTGCCGCTACGTCTGCTTTTATTGCCTCTGCTGGAATGTTGTCTGGTCGTGTTGCTTTGCCACTCTTGATCTCTCTGATGGCCATGCTGATTTCTTCAATTGTTGGTGGGGCAACTTTGATTGGGAGGTTCGTGGGTGCTGCTTCGATGTTGGGTGGGTTCAGTGGAGCTGGTCGATTCAAGAGTTCTTTGAAGTGTTCTACCCACCTCTTTCGTTGCTCTTCAATGTTGGTGATTACCTCGCCTTCCTTGCTTTTCACTGGTCGTTCTGGTTTGCGGCGATTTTCTCCTTTCTTGAATCTTATCCAATATATCAACAGTGATCCATTCCTTGTGATGGTGCTTCCTGTGACTCAGGTCCTCATGACATGTTGAAGTGATTGCCTCTTTGATCCTCTTCCAATCGCTCACCACAGTAGTTCCTTCTCCATTGAGTAGATCATGAAAGGCCTGGAACTTGTTGCTCAGGACTATCTTGAATTTTTCGAGTTTGTTAGTATCCTGAAGAAAGGCCGTATTGAACTATTGTGATATTGTCCGCCCCGTTGTCCAGTGCTTCTTGAGTTTCAATTTCATCTTCGCGACCAGCAAGTGATGATCTGAGGCTACATCAGCTTCTCTTTTGGTTCTTACGTCTTCTATAGTCCTCCTGAACGTTTTGTTGATGCAAATATGGTCGATTTGGTTTTGCGTGGTGTGATCCGGTGAAGTCCATGTGGTTTTGTGAATACGTTTATGTGGGAATATGGTGCCACCTATGACCAGTTTATTGAAGGCACTTAGGTTTGCGAATCTCTCACCATTTTCGTCCCTTTCTCCCAGTCCTTGTCGTCCCATGATGTCTTCATATCCAGTGTTGTCCGTTCCAACCTTGGCATTGAAGTCTCCCATCGGAATGGTCAGGTCCTTTGTTGGGCACTTCTCGATGATTGATTGCAGCTTATTGTAGAATTGATCTTTAGCGTCTTCATTGTAATCGTTGGTATGCGCATATCATTGGATGATGTTCATTGAAATGCCCTCTTTCTTTGTTTTGAATGAGGTTTTGATGA